TGAGAGTATAGGGAGAAGAGGTCTACTTTAACCAACGTGTCTGCTTTAAATACGATGAACAGTGACGTTATAAAGTGGTATTTACTTAGATATAGTACGTTCCTATAATATAAACGCTATGCCGACAGATGGAAATTCGTATGACGATAGCTAGAAGTATTTGATACGTGTCAAATCCTATTTCGTTTAACGATTGCTCTTTTACATGTTACCTAGATCAGCGACGCTAACACACAGCTCCACTTTCTAGTTTTTAAGTGATTTACTCCGAATTACTTAATTATGCTGCACGTTTTGGATTGGTGATTGTTCAGTAGTGTCATGTGTGTATGTTGCATCAATAATATGTAGATATGATCGCCGATAATTAAGTAATTAGCCAATAACACTTTAGCCCGTCTTGGCCCGGCCCGGCCCGACTTTTAGGCAATCCCGTCTAAATCGCAGTTTTGCTTCCTCAAGAGGCGTGTCAGAATCCTATGACCGTGAGTCGATTCGATTCCTTATTTTCAGCAACAAACTCATGATCGAGTGTTCCACTAAAATGGAAAACGTCTAAAACCTGCTTTCCCCACTGCCTATTGTAATTGCTGTCGTTGTGTCAGAACTTGAACGCATCTCGTGGTGCTGTCAGTAGAGTCCAGATTGCCGTATACACTTAAATATTAATATAATCTGTCCGGTTGTACATGGGACTCCCCAGGCTGTTATATATGAGCTACAGTGTATTTATTACGAGTAGATACGATGATAATCCTCAAAGGCATTTAGAGGTTGGATGTGACCAGCTGATTTTGACGCGGTTCCAACTTCAGCGGTAACAAGATAATGTAATAATACACTTTCAACTAGATTCAGAAATCCATTGAGGTACGAAGTCTTTGCAGCGCGTTGTGTATTGTACGTACATCGTTAATATACATGTAGGTACGGCAAAAGCTTAAAGCACGCACACTCGAAATCATTGTACAGTAATATACTGTATTGACGAATCTGAGCGATACTATCGAAACACACCCGTGGCACGAAGTGGTATAGGGGAGATAACTCTGTTGGGTAACTCTTCACGTGCGAGGTGCGTCACATGTATGGAACTTCACGTGCGATATAACGCATGTGCTCGCCGGGGCCAGCCATCTTAGACGATATGCACGACTGTAACATTCCTGAATAAATATTGCAACCTACTCAAGACTTGTCATACGACGGATACAACAGTGACGAGGATCGCTCAGGAAGAGAGGTTACACGGGTGATTATCAAAGTTATTTTGTGTGATTGAACGGCATAGTCACGAAAATACAACTAGATTGAGAAATCTATTGAGGTACGAAGTCTTTGCAATGCGTTGTGGATTGTACGTACATCGATAATATACATGTAGGTACGGCAATTAAGCACACTCGAAATCATTGTACAGTGATATACTGTATTGACGAATCTGAGCGATACTATCGAAAGACTCCCGCCAGGACCCTCACAATTTGTTGACATTATTGTATTGACACAGCGTTGATATATATTATACTTGAAAGAGGTTATACTTGTCACAATTGGCATACCCTGACGACAAAGTAAACACACCGAGAGCACGTTATCTACGTTACTGTTAGGTCAATCTAACAGATGTGTTGGTTCAGTTAATAATTCAATTTCATTTTCACCCTGTGTATTCATGTCATATTATATTTCCTAACAATGATATTGCAAGATATTGATAACATTAGTCAAAGTGAAAATATCCCATATTGTTATATTCCATCAAGACGTGGACTTCGTTTTGCATGCAGCAGTATAAACGCGATTAAAGTTTAATTTGGCTAACGTTAACAGGTTCTATCAATACGACTCATTGTACAAATGGTAATGGCGGTTTAAAGCATTCGCTCCAGGTTAAATATGTTACACCCATTGATGGTGTCCTCACTCACTCACTCACTTACCTCGAAGTGCTGTCTATTTGAACTGATAGTAACATTGATGTAAAAAAACAGGTTTATAAGTATACATATATTCAAATAGTCGATTGACTAAGGACGGGGATAATCTTTAGTGGTAACGCTTTCGCAAGTACTCACTTCCTCACACATCACGTGCAAACGAGAACAACAAACATGAACAGAAACTATCAAAACTATTGTGCTGACATCCACATGTGCGTGAACGTACATGTAATTTTCACAGTTGCGCTTTGGTTTTCTGTTTAAATTAATTAAAACCTATTTCAAATCATTACAAGCATATTTTGAAATATTTAACCTTTTCCTGATTCATTAACAACTTAATCAAAATAAATGAGTAAATAGTTAGTTACTTAAATTGCACTTTCAAGAAGTTCCTAAAGGTTAACCGACACGGTAATATTGGAATGGGTGTAAGGGCGACACAACGAACTATTACATGTCGCAGTTAAAAGATTTGTGTAGCCTATGTGTAACACAGAGGCATACTGTGACACCAAAAGTAATTGCAAGATACTATTTGAATTACCTATTGCTTGAGGCTTGTAACTTCGGTCATGCTGAAATAATGTTACAATTCCAATATTAGAAACCCACGAGCATGGGTATGGTGCTGACAAACCTAGAAACATAATCGGGGCGAACCGGGATTCGAACCTACTATCATAGGTTTCTGGCGTGCCCAAGGGACGCAACTCTGCACAGCGAATCGCGGCACCTTAGACGAATGGACCACCCGTGCCCCCAGAAAATATGACATAAAAGTAACTGTTGACATATCGGTAACACGTTTGGCGCACTCACAAGGTGCAATACGAGGTAACTGTGACACTATAAATACCCTATCTGTTCGGACAGGTAAGTGGTCTAACCAGTTCTAATAATTCTCGTAATCCTTATTGTGAGTGTCTGACAAGGTTCTATCAATCAACATAAGCTGGTTGAAGAGGTAAGATGTTATACTACACGTTTACTCTTCTTTTCAGTTGGAAGATGTTCGTCTGGACATTTGAATTTTAATTCCATTTGCTTATCTGATGACCAATAATCCAAATTAGTTTATTGTGGCAACGTTGACTAGTTTCAGTATATGTTTCATACTTAGAGTAATATTGCAATAGTTTGGCGAGTCGTGTTTTATTTAACATATCAGCTACAAGTTCAAGCTATGTATAAATGTACAAATGTATTAATCCACATAGCACCTGGGCGAAAGGATAACAAACGAATTGAACAAATTGGCCCGTATCCCTTCACGTAAACATACTGTAGACCTATTTGTAAGCTTTGATTCGAATTACTCAAGTATCTTCACTGAGACAAAATGACTTGTCATGAATATCGGCATACCAGTGGGATCTAGTTTATCCCTGGTCCTGTGGAAGTCTCATGCAATCTTTGATGTATTGTTCAAATTCAGTAAGTTAGCACGTAGCTTTGGTTTGTTGGTACGCTGATGACAGACAAGATTATAGTGAACGGCAACATGCTGTAAGATTTCTCCAGAAGAATGTATTGTCCCACAGTCTGCATAGGTATAATGTCTATTTGACCATGCGATACTAACACGTGACTGATATAGTCCGTGAACTCCGCACATTTGTTTATGGCATTAGGGGTATTATGTCACTGCGGTGTATATGTCTTCCTTGTCTGAAGTCAAAGTTAAGCGCACATGACAGGTACGTAACCTACTCCTCCTTCACTGTTATGTCTTCCGACTTGTATATTATCTGACTTGTCGGGGTACAGGTGGCCCAGTCGTCTAAATCGTTTGTCTCTAATGCACATCAGAAACCTATGATCGTAGGTTGGAATCCCGGTACGCCCCGATTATGTTTCTAGGTTGGTGGCACCATACCCATGCTCGTGTGATTCACCAAAGTGGTAAACATCGGAGACCCCGGGTGTTCCTCCCACATCAAGGTGACACGCCGTGATACTGTAACTGAAATACTGTAATGTTCAAAGCGGCGATAAACCCATTTCACTCACTATATATCTTACTTGACGTCGAGATACACAACTAAGACTTATGCAATTTTTCATCTTGCCTTGTATGTTTCTGGCATAGTAGCATGATCACATCAAAGCACTGAATAGATGATAAGAAGTTGTGTAATCATGTAGATTAAGTGGTACATAAATATATCTTTCCCCGTTAAAATCATAAACCTATAAACGGTATAGTGTGCACATACAGTTTACAATGTACAAATGCGGGTGTTGTTTTTTGGGGGTCCAAGAAACATGCATCATCTTCTCACAGACTTCCATGTTCAGAAAATACATTAATATGTAGATACTTATATAGTTAATCCGCGAAACATGTCTCGGACATAAATGCAAATAAACAGAAACTATGTTTCCGGCATTATTACATGATCATATTAAAGAACTGAATAGTTGATACAAACGTTGTATAATCATATCATGTAGATTAAGTGGAACATATGGTTTACAGCTTATTGTCACTGTGGCATTAACCTCAGTACCTCGGTAATCATTCACACTTGGAGGTCGTTAACTTCTAATTACCCCACGGAAGTCATTGTAATACGAACATAGGTCAGGTTCTGGTGTCTATGATAATGAGACATCTTGTGGGATGTTCCAGTTTTAATCTTCACAAGCATGTTCGCTTATATATAAGTCATGGATCTTATGATTGTCCAAAATATGAGTCATTGTAGACGTCGATACGTAACTTAATGTGTCTCATTTTCTTGGTTTATATTTCTTAAGAGGGACGATATAAATGGTTGTCTGACTTTACATATTTTATCAGATACGTTTCTTGATAATGTATAACTGGTTTCAATTATTTATTTGACATTAAGCCAATCTGTCATTTATTGCAAAGTTATGTTGAAATATTTCATAGTTACCTCTAATATAATAATATCCACATATCATGTCATAGACAAGTTATTATTGTTATAATGAGTGTTATGACCAGTGGAATCTGTTTCGTTGGATAATCGATCTCTGGCGTTGACTTTTTATATTAAATTTAAGTGAAAAATTAAGGTCAATATTTCAGCCATGTCGATATCTGTATAGCCTACGAGTAATTATAAACTTTATTAATCCACATGACCCCTATATATATTCGTGGATAAATTAATCTCATCAATGTAACAAAACAAATTTCCCTGATGCATATAAAGCTGCACTTGGTTCAGATTTGCCATTGAACAACATATCCATGCAGCTACAAAAACATTTGTATGTTTATTTATATGATCCATGAATTGACATGTACGATTATACAGCGTCATGTTGTAAGCATTGGTTCATGAATCTAGGGGGTAACCAAAGTTACCTGCCAATATTGTATAATGCTACCTTTCAAGAGCGAACAAATACAGAGCGATAACAAAATTGAGATAACCATAACATACTGTAAAAGTTATACTCGATGCCATATATGTTACCTGTAGTTGTATTATGTGTAAACATTCATAAGCCTCTTCTCATATGACTTAAGTTTCTTGCCCATCATGCAGTGAGAGATAACATATGCCCTCATGCCATGTGCATGTTATACTTAAAACCGATGTGTGTACATCGTAGCTCAGGGCGAGGTCACTTATCAGTCAGCTTTGTTTTGCAGGAGAAGTGTACATGTATATTACATGTTTAGGCACTGAAGATTTAATTACACCCTTGGCGACCGTCCAATACAGAGGTCGTTGTGACACCACTTGACACCCAATACAAGCTCGTTTCAGGTATGAGTGTACTATAAACGATCTGTTTATCATAAATTACGTGCAGATATTCTGCTGGAGATAATATGTGGAGAATTCGTAAAAATTCTCAATTTTCGGATATTTAAATTATTAGCAATCAATATTTCAACACTAATTCAATAAAAACATTATGCATCAAACGCTACCAACAGTGCATACTTAAGGAAACGACCTGATAATGTATGCGTTTGGCTGAATTGTAGATAGTTGTACCAAATGCTTCTCATCACATAAAGATTTTCTGAGATTTAAAGAAACATAAAGGATGCACATGCGCGTATGTAGATCTGAGCACTTCGATATGAACATACATGTTTTTATAGCACACAGCAGCGACGATGTGCATAGCTCTCTTCGAGTAAGGTGTAGCGCTGTCAGCATCTATGTATGTTACACTTGTGTCAAAAACAAAGCAAACACAATACGTTTTTAGAAATAGTTTAATTTTTCGAAGGTTTTGAAGAAATGATAATAATACAGTAAATGTTGAATCGTACTGGTACATCAGCATAAATCAATGTTATATGTCATCACTTAGATTTTCTTATAATGGATTTTAGTAAGAAAAAGCACCATTGGTCATCTCCCTTTGATTACGACTCAACGTCTCAAGGAATTACATGTGTTGTCCGATTTCAGTACCTCGTCTTGTTGTCCATATATCATTCCTAAATAGTGCGTTAGTTAAAATTTAACGTCGCCTCGGCATTGTTTCCGTCATATTACGACTCATTCATAAATAGCCGGTTAGTGTTGCCATATTTTGAAATACTGAAAGTATAACAAAGGGGTATAACTCTTTTTTGAAACGTTGAACGAACGACGCTCTGCTGTTTCTACTGCTGGCTGCTACGTGCTTCTACAAAGAATTACATGTGCGTCCTCTTGGAAGAGATAAATATCGCATTTAATTACATTTTTGATACTCTATTCGTCGATAATATTGAATAGCGTGATGTATTTTGGATGGTTGTTGTTGAACGCCACACCAAGCAATGTTCAAGCTATATTACGGCGGTCTATAAATTAATCGACCCTGTACTTAAGAAAGAAAGCTTGTTCTGAGTATGAGTTAAGTTACTTGCCCATAATGCAGTGATAGGTAATGTATGCCTTCATGTAATGTGCGTGTGATATCTAATTATCACTGTGTCTCGAATCTACCCTTTTCACGGTCTAGTGACCTCTCTGGGCCCTCGCTTTATTTCCGACACCGCTTTGCAAATTCCGGCGTTCGTCGTTGTTCAGTGTCATTGCATTCTGAAGTAGAGAATGAGCGACCCGACCATTTCATTCTCTTGTGATTTAATGGCACTCATCAGAGTGTTGAGTTAATTAACTCATGTGGTAATTGGTCGCAGCCGCTTTAATTGGTTGCTTTGTGAATGTGTTGTTTTAGCTACTCTCATTTTATTGCTGTAATACAGTTGCATAGTGGGGTATATATGCTATGCAGGCACGTAGTGGTATAGGGGAGATAACTCTGATGGGTAACTCTTCACGTGCGAGGTGCGTCACATGTATGGAACTTCACGTGCTCGCCGGGGCCAGCCATCTTAGACGATATGCATGACTGTAACATTCCTGAATAAATATTGGAACCAACCATGACTTGTCATACAACGGATACAACACTGGCAACGAGGATCGTTCATGAATAGAGGTTACAGCATTTTTGGAACGGACACGGGTGATTATCAAAGTTATTTCGTGTGATTGAACGGCATAGTCACGAAAATACAACTAGATTGAGAAATCTATTGAGGTACGACGTCTTTGCAGTGCGTTTTGGATTGTACGTACATCGCTAATATACCTGTAGGTACGGCAATAGCTTAAAGCAAGCACACTCGGAATCATTGTACAGTAATATACTGTATTGATGAATCTGAGCGATACTATCGAAACACACCCGCCAGGACCCTCAACATTTGTTGACATTATTGTATTGACACAGCGTTGATATATATTATACTTGAAAGAGGTTATACTTGTCACAATTGGCATACCCTGACGACAGAGTAAACACACTGAAAGCACTGTTAGGTCAATCTAACCGATGGGTTGGTTCAGTTAATAATTCAATTTCGTTCACACCCTGTGTATTCATGTAATATTATATTCATGACAATGATATTGCAAGATATTGATAACAATAGGCAAAGTGAAAGTATATCATATTGTTATATTCCATGAAGACGTCAATGGACTTTATCATAATGCACTTGGACTTTGTTTTGCATGCAGCTGTACAAACGCGATTAAAGTTTAATTTGGCTAACCTTAACAGGTTCTATCAATATGACTTATTGTAAAAATGGTAATGGCGGATGGAATGCCCATAGGCAGAGTTTAAGGCATTCACTCCAGGTTAAATATATGAAACCCATTCCTTGAGTCCTCACTCACTCACTCACTCACTCACTCACTCACTCACTCACTCACTCACTCGAGAACAGTAAACATGAAAAGAAACTGTCAATACTGTTGTGCTAACATCTGCATGTGCGTTAACGTACATGTAATTTGCACGGTTGCGCGTGGGTTGTTTTAATTAAAACCTATTTCAAATCATTACAAGCATATTTTGAAATATTGACTGTTTAACCTTTTGTGATAGCTTAATAACCTATTGTCTTCAAATGAAGATTTACTTAAATTGCACACTCAAGAAGTTCCTAAAGGCTAACCGATACGGTAGTATTGGAATGGGTGCAAGGGCGACACGCCGAACTATTACATGACAGACAGACAGACAGACATAGTTTATTAAAGTGTCACATGGCGTGAAACAATAAGAATACATCATATTAAATTTATCATACCATCCAGCCTAGCTAGGCTTATGAGACACTATTTCTTTGTTGTTTGACTGGTTCATTTTCATCACTCTGGGGGAGACGGGTAATTAGTGAGTGATCAACCAACCGATTACTTACCGTAATTAAATCCCCTAAAAGCGTGGGCCAAATGGGAAGTAGGCCAGTGGGGTGGACACCGATTTAGCTACTCTCCTTTTTTATTACTGTTATACAGTTGCTAAGCTAATCAGCTTGTATAATTGTATATACATGTATGTCTCATGGAAAGAAGAGGAAGCTTCACACAGAGCTAACTATCATGTCACCACTCTTATATCATCATATGCATGTTATTCGGGTTTCAAAAGCAACACATATTTACAGTAGAGTTTCGAAACAACATTTCCCATGGCTAGAGCTACCTTAGAATAAAAGTTATGACCACTAAAACTCCCGGTTCGGAGAAACGTTTTCCTATTGCAATGGGACCAGAAAGCCTAACTAACCTAAAGGTGATAGGTATGTGAGTTGTCACATGACCAAGACTAGAAGATGTTCAATAACTAATATTGCCAAATGATACATCGTTTCAAGTTATTTTATATCTGTTGTTTTATAATCAGTTTAAACCATGTGTGAAAATGTGTGCCACAATAAAGTATCTTCGCCTTAAGTATTCAGCATATATGTTATCTATTAGATATAGAAATAAGAAAACGGTTCCCTTATACCTTAAGTTTAAAACCAATAGGACTGTCATAACATTTTCCTGAAGCAATCTTGGTCAAAAGAATCCAACATGGCCGCCACCAGAAGACATAGAAAATGTTAAAAGATTGTTTTCGTGTACCTGGATATGAATAAAACTTTTTGGAAGCCATGTACCCTAAACATGGCTAAAGGGTGTGACCAAACATGACCAAAGCATTCTCTTCACAATTGACTCTCACTTTGTGTGAGTTCATTGAAAGCCCATTCATCAAGCCTATCGGAATGTGGAAGGGGGAGGTTCTCAAACGACAGATGACAGGAGCGTGTGTATGCCTAAATAACTCCATGTACTGTACTTTGTTTAATGATTTGTTTACAGGCCGCCGAGTACAGCTGTGCGGCGTCAGACAAAAAAAAACACTTATAATGCAAATTAAGTGAATGAAGGGTGCTACCTGTAGGGCAGGATATGCCTGCTCTTTTAGCGAAAACCTGGAGTCATAACTGATTTTCAGGGGTCCATTCATATAATTTTCACAGCTTTATTGTCCTTCGCGTCAAAAGTAATCTGTTTCGGTGGATAATTAAAGTGCAAGTATCATAAAACATAGTAAAAGATAAAAGATATTTCTTACATCTTTATGTAGCCAGTATGATGTACAATGCGATAGCCGAGAAAAAGTGTGAAAACGTTATGTTAGCGTTGTTGCGGTTAATTAAAACTACGCTTTTTGAGGTCGGTATTTGTCACAACCCACACGAATTTTAAAAGCGCTAACGAGGAGACGTGGCTTATAAGCACAGTCGGCTAGGCCTGTAAGCTGATTGGATATTACCACCAGCCGGGCACAGAATATACGCAATCGTTTCATAAGTTGTTGGGAGACCCATGTCGTATATATAATACTGGTATGGATTCCGTGTTTGTCACGGGTATGGCTTGTGGGTGCGTGTAAGTAACCTTGATTTAAAGTGAATTATATAATTTTAACATCGTAAGTATTCGCATGAAAAAGACCTATGTCGTAGGCAAACTTTCAATTATTCCAGTATGGATGGCCAAACCATGCTGTTTATTGTCAAAATATGATGGTCATCTTATGTCGGTGTGATGCATATTGGGTCACCAGCTTCGAAGATACATGGTGTTTAAGCCTTAACATGAATCATGCTTCATATAGATCTCACCTGGCAAATGTATTGGACTTCTTATACAGTGTACTAACAAACATGGAACGAATCTGACCAGCGGGCATTCGGTCGTCATAATACAACATCTTAATGATGCATAAAACAAAAAATAACAATAGGGACCTGCACCAGTTTATGCTGTGGTCCCAGTGATAGTCGGTCCGTCATCTGCAAATCCATTGATTTATCGGCATACAAGTTTTGTCTACGGATATGGATATATATTGCCTTCACAGTCATCTACAAGGCATGAATCTATAGCTCTAATGTGGGCCAATACAAAATATATACGTATACGTTATATGCAGCCGCTTCTTGTTTTGGACGAAACAGGAACTTATCTTCAACCTTCAATTTGCTGCACATAAAACTGAAAGCGTTGAACATTTCCTTGTATTTGCTCGTTGTTTATTCTTCCCTTCATCGAACGTATATTTCACAGGTTTGTACCTACAATTCTTACGACATATATAAGGCAACTCATAACACGTTCTGTAATCGCAAAGAATGATAATGTCAATTGATCAAACATTTGTTTTCACTTACTATAAGATATGATCAACTAATAACCATATCAAACAAATATCCAATAGTTATGCTTCTACGAGACCTATTGATCTAATTACCAACATGCTTACTGACGATTTTATATGGATCATTTCATGCTTACAGCTGTTGACATGGAACTTTATCAAGTGTTTGCAGTAATCCTGTGCACACAATGTAAGTATGTTTGAACGTATTGAATCATTGGTAAATATAACATAACACTTTAGTTCACCTAACTAAAAGGAATTGACGGTGTCGCGGTGGAGGCTTTCACATTTTCCACTCCACCCCAACCCCAACTCCCTCAACCACACCAAACCGCCATTCTCCCCGAACATATAAAATATTATAATACAGGACAGATTGGGAACGGTGTGTATTGGATATTATATTCTTAATTATGAATTTCAAGATTTTCTCAGATACATATACATGTATTTAATTATTATTTAATCATATTGTCCACATGCATCTTCCCGAGGCAAGAGAGCTAACTGACTTTAAAAGTCCAGTTTCCACCCTTGCCGAACTAGGCTGGAATTCCTGGGCTCGATCGTAGCGCTACCAGTGGCTATTACGAGTTATGCCCTTTCTAGGGCTCCCCTATGGACCAATCAGATTCCACCTCTCGTATCACTTGCATTTGATTCAAACAAAAGGGCGGCGCCCAGTCAGGACGATCTGGTCGATAATCAAGATCTAAATTGTGATAAAACGGGTCTTATATCGCGAAGTGCATCAAATTACGTGAGCACCTTGATTAAAACCATGAACAGATTTGGAAAATATCTGTTGACAACGATTTTGCGGTGCACATGTTTTGCAAATTCTGCAATCGACCGAAATCTTCATGACAGTTTACGAACCGGATTTCGAGTTCATTGCGCGATTTTGATTTGACTATGCATAGACTCATTAGTCCAGCCAAAATCTAAGTCCATAATATCTACCTAGTTCGGCAAGGGTTGAAACTGGACTTTTGTAGTCAGTTAACTCTCATGCCTCGGGAAGATGGTCCAAATGAGGCTGTTGGTGTGAATTTCACTGCGCTAGGCGCACTCCTTATGTACCACGCCCAACATTCCCATAGATATGTAGTCATTCACTGTAGTCACAGTTTCACATTAAAGAATAATAATGGTATTTTACTGTTTTGAACATTGTATTTACATATGGCTTCAACGTTTATCTATAAGATAACAACTATTTCTCCATGTGATATTATTTCGTGAACTGTAGAAACGTGCGCATTTAAGTACGTAGTTCCCTCAAAAACATGTCGTAACATGGGAATTAATTCCCGTTTTGTTTGTAACGATAGACTGACTTACATTTTGATATTAGAACACTCCAGTAGACGGCAGTTCGATTTGCGTACTGATTACAAAATGAGGTTTCACATATCTGAGCGATAGGAATGACAGAATTTCTTTGATATGTCGAAGAGTTCAGTGGCGGATTCATGTATGTCATATGAAGTATGTACTTGGAAAAACTATCAGCGTCTAATAGATTGTTTTATTCATGCTATATGTAATACGACTTTCACATTACATCTTTAAGGTATCTTCATTGTTGATAGTACAGACAATCATTGCCTGGTGTTATCGCAGTCCGGGGCATGTGAGGAATGCTATATTGGATGGTATGGAGCTTACTGTGACAAGATGTGTCAACACTGTGACACGCGTGGATGTAGCAAAACAACAGGAGTTTGTCTTCAGTGTCAAGCTGGCTATTACTCTACCAACTGTTCACTGACATGTCCACCTCAGTGCAGAGAGAGATATGGTGACCGTGAGCTCTGTGCCCGTACAACAGGGAAGTGTCTGGAAGGCTGTAAACCAACATGGTGGGGGGATAAATGTGAACAAAAGTGTGGAAAACAGTGTAGTGGTTCAGAGTGTTTCTTTTACGATGGTTCATGTGCATCTGGATGCAAGGACGGGCTTTCCGGGTCTCACTGTGACAAAACCTGTTCAGTGGGATGTCTACATGGCAACTGCAGTCAGCTGGCGGGTGTGTGCCTTCATGGATGTAAAACTGGCTTCTATGGGCGCTCCTGTGACAGACATTGTACTGATAAATGCCATGACAGTGATTGCAGGACAGGGGTTGACGGAGACACTCCTCTCTGTACCCACGGCTGTGTACCTGGCTCGAAGCCTCCTCTCTGCGATAACCCTTGCCTAACCAACTGTTTATCCTGCACTGAAGCTGGGGTGTGTACATCGTGCAAGGCAGGGTTCACAGGAACTAGCTGTGAGAAGAAGAAATGCAACTGTCTTGGTTCCGGTTGTAGCGATGACAGAATTTGCGATGGGTGTCTTGATGGCTGGCAGGGACAGACCTGTGAGTTGGCCTGCTCTCAAAACTGTCTCAGATGTCAACAGAAGAGTGGGAACTGCACTACATGTCGCCAAGGTTTCACATATGATGGAAGAAGTCAATGTACTTCCGTGATCCCTGGTAAATGAACCTATCAATGTATCGTATATGCTGGTATCGGTAACTCAGTTGACTAATGTTTGAGAGATTAAGTTATCTTCATATTCTAGCATGTACCTATAGATGTCTATTAAATAAGTGTGGTTTTCCGCAACATAAATGCCTTTTACTTTTCGCTAACTACGTCACATATATGATATATGTATATGGTTTTGAAGGTCAACAAGCACGTAGTTCTTTTGGAATGAAACCTATCTTCAAATGTACTTGCAGAAGATATTACTTGGTACGAACAATTGAGATCTGTTTCTTTTATGTGTTGCTCATTTTCTTACAGCAGCAACCACCAAAGCCACAACTGAAGGGCAAGAATCAAATCTTCCCGTTGTGATTATATCCATCATAGTTCCTCTCCTTGTAATTGTTGCAACTGGGTTTTGTGTCCTGTAAGTTGATTGTTATTTTCTATAATTGACTGAACATATTCCCCTATTCTTTTATGGCATAACGATTAAGTGTTTATAAATGAGTGAACATTAGATGTCTGGACATTTTATTTTAAGCCGATGGGTTCGACAAGAAATTAATACTTTCCGGGCTTTAAGCCAGTCAGAATGCAGCACAAAATTCTGTATCAATCTGCAGTGTAAAAAATCTCAAGGATACTCACAAATACTCTTAATAAATTATCCCAACAGTTAACACGATGTACAACATGCTGACAAATGTTGGTTACTGTGTCACAGTAGGTGCTGCAGATTCCGAAGATGTATCCTGCCATTATCCGAGGAACACGTAAGGGATGATAATGCACCTTAAGATGTGGTAATGTTAACCCATGTCATAAACATTTCGTTCTGACGTGTTGGTTGGTTTGTTGTTTAACGCCGCACTCAGCAATATTCCAGCTATATGACGGCGTTCTTACGTGTAATGAGTACATGTACGTACTGTCTATAATTAAAAAAAACATCATCAATTTTGATATTCGTACAAAAACTGTCGTATTCCTGGGTAGACATTACCGTGGTTCAATGGACACCCAACAGTGTCGTCGCTTTGAGGCTGAAACAATTCCTGTGCGACGTTAAATTAAACGCACAGATTGTCGAAGCAGGAACTTATAATTTAAGATCACTTTTGTTTCTAGCGATGTCCAACAACAGCAAAATCTAAATGCGAAATATGTTCATTTATTCGATTCCATTGCTCCTACGCATTAATTTTGTTTTTAATTGGGAGTATATTGACTTTTTGTCTACCTATAACAAGCAGGTCCACATTAAAATGCACTGAAAACTTGATATGACAATTTATCATCAGGTTTCACCAAAATTAATGTCACGAGTTCAGAAAACTACACCGATCAATCAGTAACCATACTCACAGACACCCTTGAAGAATATATTTGTTTCATATTTTTTAGACGCCGAATTCGCCACTATCCAGGTTGAGCGAAGGCAATAGCAACGAATAGGTTGGTAAAGTATATGTTAATTATTTTCAGCTAACTCAATAAAAGGTCTTTATCTTGAGAAAATCATGAATTGTAAATACGTCAGCGTCCATCGACCAGCATTTAGAATGTACCACCAGGCTTCCATTGCTCTTGAATCCCGATCACCAGGCCAGTTAACGGGATACGTGTTAGAAAGGATAGTCAGTGTACCCTCTCCTCAGCGTTTTCTTGAATTCAATCTGATATTTTCAATTAATTTTCTTGGATCATCAAGATGTGGCACGGGGTCCTGCGTACATGTCACAAATCTGGTGAAATTAAGCAACGTTCGTTGCGGTAACTGGATGTCTACATGTAGGTGACCGTGTCCGGCAGCTTGACTTCTGAGAGGTCCTTAGGCTCCGTTCCTGCCCCAACACACAAACACATGTGGTGTATCCTTTGGCAGCAAATAGTGTAGGCGTAAGTCTAGGGTTTCTTTAATGTGAGAATTGACTTACATTGGATTTTCTGGTTTGTTTACAGGCTGATGTTGCACGGCAGAGTACTGCTGTGCTGCGTCAGGCGACAAATACTTATTTTTGTGTGCATATTGGATGACATATTGTATGAATGACTAACATCACTGATTTTCAGTGGTACATTCATGTAATTTCCACAGCTATTTGCCCTTTACGTCATGAGGAATCTATTTTGGCAGAAAATGTAGACCGGTTATTTTCTTGCATTGACATTTCATGTTTACAACATGTAACTATTCACTAACTCGAATAATATTTCTGAGGCAAACACTGGGTTTCTTTCATACCATCCGGAAAATGTTTTCAGCATTAACTACGACCAGAGAACAACGAATTTCCCAATCTGATATAAAAGTGGAATAAACATTTTCAGTTTTTTTTGCTTTTGTTTATAAATATTTTAAATCCCTATTTGTTATCAAGCGCAAAATGCACGTAAACGTTACACAGGATAGTTCGAAAAATATACAAAACATGAAGTTGTATACATTAAGAGAATATGTCATGTTTATTGCTCACCTGTAAAGAGATCAACCGTTTGATACAATACGATCCGGGGTAGAATAGGTCTTAAGCAACCCATGCTTGCCGTAAAAGGCGACTATGCATGTCGAAAGAGGCGACTAACGGGATCGGGTGGTCAGGCTCGCTGACTTGGTTTGATGCATGTCATCGTATCCCAATTGAGTGGATCGATGCTCACGATGTCAATCACTGGATTGTTTGGTCCAGACTCGAATATTTACACAGACCGCCGTCATAGCTGTAATATTGCTGAGAGCGGCGTCAAACAACAAACAAACTAACAATAAAAATACACCTTCATTACACATTGTGTCATATGAAGGAATTATTTTTGGAATCAGTTCGTTATTCGAATGAAGCCGTTGGTAGCACTGTGCAACTGTACTCTGCAACGTGACAATGCAAAGAGAGTATACGAAGCAAGTGGTTGGATCCAAAGCAGGGGGCGGTCGGGTAGCCCAGTGGTTAAAGCGTTTGCTCGTCACGCCGAAGACCAGGGTTCGATTCCCGACATCGGTACAATGTGTGAAGCCCATTTCTGGTGTCCCCCGCCGTGATATTGCTGGAACATTGCTAAAAGCGGCGTAAAACCATACTCACTCACTCACTCATAACAAAGCACGCGAGAGTGAAGGGGAGGGGGTCATGGAATCGCGCTAATTTTAACATGACGACGCAAGTCAGATACAGCCGACAGACCTTTGCCAGACTACGTCAGTGATACCACCAGAATTGGGACGCGAGAAACAGGGCACGAAATGGTAGACAAACATATAACCACCACAGAGGGGGACCGCTTTTTGCGCAACCGCTTCCTGGCGGTAACGTCATTGGCGTTGTCTGGACTGGGATGCCGCATCAGCAGACACAGTGTCAGGACGAGTACGTGCTGCATAAATGATGGCCTACAGCCCCCACCGCAGAATGTTGTTGACTCATGAACATGGGCGAAACAGTCGTCCATCGTCTGTGTACTGTTCAGCAATGAGAGAGGTGTGCAACTGGCGTTAGGATGCATCCAAGAGCTTCACCCTTTGGTGTTGTCAGGTTATGGTGCGGGATATGTGGTGAAAGGAAGACCCGTCTTGTCATCATTCGTGGAAATTTGAACGCCCAACGTTACTGGAATGTCATTCTGCGGCCAGCTACCCTTCCCTTTCTCAGAAGGCAGCTACAAGGGATACTCTTCTAACAGGACACTGCCAAATACCACACTGCTCGAATAATCGGGGACTCAGACATCAGACATTCATCATTGTTTTGGAACAATTGAAAGTTATGACCTCAGATATGTTTGATTGCTTTTCTTTAAGTGACATGGAAATGTCTTTTGGCTTCTTGACTTCAGAAGACATTTCAAATGAAAAGTGTCCAGTAGGCAATTAGAACTTTTACACATTTGTGCATGTACTATGTTGCTTCCTACACCTTAAATTGTATAAACGTTTTGCGGCCAAATACTTTTTTTGATCAGAAACATGTAGTTTTTGTGGTTGGTGAGGAGGGTAATTCGTTAACGTTGACAACTAAAACGTTACTATATTAATGAAAACAAATATGTGCCAAAACGTTACTGATTTGCTAAACTGTCAATGGCGAATTGCATAATGTACATACTACACATGTACTATTATATGTTAACAGGTTAAAATTGGTATTCAAGTGATGTCAAATATATATATTATTACATTCTTTGTAGATTGTCAACGTGAGGATAAATATTGTTAGGCAATGATGTTACATTCTATTATTAATGATCATGTTATTGTTTCAGGTTGACTTAAGACGTGGATTTATTTCAAATGCAGAAGAGCCTTTATCATACACTTTCGCACCTCTATCAGGGGAAATTTATATACGGACGCAGCCTGGTCACGAGTGTTAAATTACCGTAACAAACATGTCAATGCACCTGCGATCAAGTATGACTTGGAGAAGAAGACTATTGTTGAAATAGGAAAGCGAGAACTGTGCAGGTTGAAACTCTAGTTCTGGTCGTGTTGCACATCAGGACGTTCGTCCAGTCCACAAAGTAGTCATTAAGACGACAGGATGACATGACACACCACAGAACCACGACACGAGTCGTAACAGACGACCGAAGGAGGCCGCTGCCCCGACGAGACAGCCAACAGAGACCTCTTCTAATGCGGTTACTAATAGATAAGACCCTTTGGCTTCCTCTACTTCCAGTCGTGTGCTAGCATTTGCTATTGGGTCCAATTTGAAAACATTTACTTCAAATTATTTTCATAAACGCCGAATACAAAGACTTAACGGAGGATATTTTCCCTCAAAACAATATGCGTCAAGGTAATATGACACTTTTTATTTCTTGTAAGGGGCGGTCGGGCGGTCGCCTTGTGGTTAAAGCGTTCGCTCCTCACGCCGAAGACCCTGGTTCGATTCCCGACATGGGTACAATGTGTAAAGCCCATTTCTGGTGTCCCCCGCCGTGATATTGCTTGGGTTTTGCTAAAAGCGAGGTAAAACAATACTCGCTCACTCACTAAAATGATATTTTCCTCGCCATCACTTAAATATGGACTCGGGGGATCACCATTAGCTAAACTGTTTTCATTCGACCTATTCCCGTATACACTTTTGACATCTTTGATAAGTGTGCACAATTTGAAGCTGGTTGTATCTCGAACTATTTACTGTATATTACGAAATAGGCTTGGAGACACTATCAAGAAGACGCAAAGCTAAAAATCTATGACAACGTATGTTTAGCTTACTTGAATGACCTTTCACCACAGAGCGTATCCAGTTTTAGTCGTCATAATCATAGAAATAGAAAGAATATTAGTATTCCATAAGCTCGAACTGCAGTCCTTTGTACCATACAGGGGCACGGGTGGCCCAGTCGTCTAAGGCGCCGCGAGTCGCTGTGCAGAATTGCGTCCCTTGGGTACGCCAGAAATCTATGATTGTTGGTTCAAATCCCGGTTCACCCCGATTATGTTCCTAGGTTTGTAAGCACCATACCCGTGCTCGTGGGTTTCACCGAAAAGGTAAACGTCTGAGACCTGCATCACTTCGGGCTTTCATCCCACATTAAGCTGACACGCCATGATAAAACTGGAATGCTTTTAAAAGCTCACTCACTTTGTACCATACACACTTAAATTATGGAATAACAATTCTCAGCGATATAGACTTTCCTGAACATTTTTATGTTTTAAATGTAGCGTTAAACCAAAAGTAAACTCTGGGGAGAGAAGAGCAAATATACGTGTTTGAGACATTCCGGTAGTTCTCTCAATGCCAATTTATCAAAAGCCAATATGTCAGAAAACTTAACATGCTTGTGTGGAAATACATCACATTTTTCTTGAATGTCCTAATTATTATGCTTTTACAACTTCAATGCATACTAATGTATTGTCTGTTGGCTTTGACTTTTCCTGTCATAGTTTTATGGTAATATATTATTTCATGTTCGATAATAATATCTTTATATATTTAAAGGTGTGCCAAATATATTTGTCAACAAAATGAAAAACAGTTTTATGTGAACAAATATTTATACTCATAGACATCTCGTGTGTTAATCTGTTGTTTTACTATTTACAACTTCTAGTTTTATTATTTTACTTGTATTAGTTATCAATGTTACTGTTTGAAGTGAGGTATTGTACTTTGTTTATTTCAATGTTTAATATATAGGCTATCGTCTGCTATCTGTGTTTATGTTTATGGTATCTTAACTTTGACATTTGCCACCTCCATTTGACCTTTTCATGTCAATACAATATGCTTAATATAAACTATGTGTAACATTTTTAGTTTTAGAAAAGAGAAGAGATTTTTGTGTTTATGGAAATAGCTGTG